AGAGTTTATACACTAACTGAAGCAGTTGTTAAATATCGGAAATTGATTTCTCCCCAGCGAAACGAAGCCAATTGCCGTTGATTGCCTAGTTCAGTTCAGACGCTGCGGACTGCACTCTAAAGTCGGGCACTACTTTTCGGTTGAACACTTTCGGGTGAGCACACTAAACACGTAAACAGACGTTAATGAAGTGAAGTGAATTGAGTGCGCATGTGACGACGAGTCAGGGCCATTTAAGCTATCCTCTCTTTTAATTTTGTTTTTTTTTTATTTCGAGGCCGTGATCATGTGACATGGTGATGACACTGATCACACGCCGGTCCTTTTCCACCGGTGCTTACTTTTTTCCGATGTTGTTGTTGCACTTGAGCCAAGTGATGATGATGATGACGATGATGATGATGTTAATGCTTTTTTGGTGCCCATCTTTTCCTCACTCGCACCTTGTCTAATGTTGTGATTTATTGCTTGCGCCGATTCTGTCGATTCAAATGGCGCATGCAATTGGGCTCAAATAAGAGTAGCAGTAGAAGAAGATGGGGAGAATGGTGTGTTTGCCGCTGTGGAGCCTCAATGATGGCACTCTTCGCAGCTGTACCACGCTGTACATGCAATGACGTACGGCAGGCGTACAACTCACTGAGTGACTATTCGCATTTCCGTATTTCCTTGAGTGGCTGGCAGGCCTCGTCGTTGACGTTGACATTACCGAGCTGCTGCATCGTGCTTTGCCGTCACTTATTTCTATTCACAAATAGTGCATCATTTTACTATTTCAGTTACTTCACTTGGTGCCTACATTTACTTGTCGTGTTTGCTGCTGCTGCCATCGTCAGTCTGTGTCATTGCAGCTTGTTACCCGGCTTTTTCTGCTCAGCCAGGCAGGCTGCTGATGCTAATGGCGCGAACCATTCGCCGGCACTATTTGGCGACGGCAGTTGCCCGTAAATTACCAAACACCTACACACTGAAAGGGAGATAGATAGAAAGGCAACAGACAGAGGCAGAGGCAGTCAGTGGCGGACGTGGGGAGAAGATGTGCCGCAAAAGTGGTGAGTGCTCTTGCTCATGAGCACTGAAGCTGCACAGCTGTACAGCTCATACAGCTCATGAGATGCTTCATTTAGCTCACTAATCGACTGCTGACATACTTGGCCCGAGTTTGAGACGAATGGCATCATCAGATTTGCAGAATCAGTCTGTGTCTGTGCTCGGATCGGTGCTGGATGCAGTAGTGCGCAGCAGCACAACATGGACACTTGTAGACGAGATAATCTGCTGATGGTGATGATGGAGCTCGTGATGATATCTCTTTCTCTCTCAGTAAGCCGCTGCAATGAGCTTAGTCTGGATTAGTAGGTGTCCCACTACCGGGTCTACCTTTGCACGAGTCTAGTCCCTCTTATTTTCCAGCAAACACAATTGCACTTTAGCATTATCATGCTGCCAGTAGACTCTGCAGCTGCTGTTTCTGCTCACTGGCGCCCTGGACGCCTGTTCTCATCTGTCAGTCGGTTGCCTGCATACGCCATTTTCAATATTATGATTCGGCACTTCTTCCTTCTTCTTTTTCTTCTTCTGTTGTTTTTGCCTTTCACCGAAAATGACTCGTGTACGCACTGAAAATGTCGCCAGACAGACAGACGGACACACAGTCTCCTGTCACACATTCTCGTGACACGATTTATGTGCCGCGTGATTCGTGTGCTCAATGAGTCTGTCCTGGAGAACTTTTCTTTTCAGGCCGTACTGCACTGAAAACTACCATAAATTTAGTGTTACTTCATTCTGGACAGGCACTCAGTGCCGCCAGCCTTAGCGATGCAGGCAATGATGATGCCGTTTCTGCGTTTGCTGCCGTTCTTTTTGCAGGGATGCTCTCAAGTGGCAGGTTGGACTGGCGCGTGTTGCCCATCACACCATTGACAGCGACAGCAGCAGTCAAGTTTGCCTGTGTTCCAAACTGGCAGCATCCACTGACACTCTTATCGCGAAGATGGCACCCATCTAGCGCCCTCTGACTGGGACTCGATTTACGAGCACTTGTCTCACTTCTGCTCTTCCATGTTCAGTGCTCATGTTCGTGCACTGTTCAGTCTGCTTCAGCTTCATACGCCTGTGCTATCCTTGTATCAGCAATGGCCATCAGCATCGCCCTTGTCCAGCCGCGATAAGCCTTTAATTCCAGTGTCTGCCTATCGATTTCATTCCATTCAATTGCTTGCCCGTCGCTTGCCGATGCTGCTCTTGTTTGCCTGCTTGCTTGCTCTTGGTTTTGCTGATGCGTCAGTCTGTGGTGGTGGTGTATGTTCTTTTTCTGTTGTTTCTCAGTTTGCTGCTGACACCAGACGACTGGCAGCCAAGACTGAAAGCAACCTTGCTGGGAGTGCATTTTATCGAATGCTAAATAAATCGAGTCGCTGCCGCTGCTAAAGTTGCGATTGGCGTTAACATCAATGTTAAACAACAGGGCCACGGACGAGACAAGGGCAAAGCAGGGAGTTCTGTGCAAGCAAAGCAAATTACCGAGGCTTGAACAGTTTCCTCGGTCACTATTGACAGCACGTAGCGCTGCCGCTTGCAGATCTTCCATAATTCACAATTAGCCCATTGCGGGCCACTATTGCGTAAGGAGCACATACACACAGTATCTATGTTGTTTCCTTTTTCTTTCCTTTTTCCCATCACCCTTATTTCGGTCTGATAGTAAATTGGATTGCCAACTTTGCTTTATTGGCAACTCTGCCGCAATGTACCTAAAACATAACACAATTACTTGGCACTAATTTTGCTTTCTTTTCTTCTCTTCACTTACAGCACCACCTGAACCAAAAGGACCTGGTGAAGATGGTCGCAAGTCATCGTTCAACTACCCCTTCTACGTGCTCTTCAGTTTTGGCATCATCTTTTTTGCCGTCGTCATCGGCGTTTTTGTTTTTCTTTTTGGAAAACGTCGCAACAAGCCAAACAGTGGAGATATTCTGCAGACACCCCAGCCACTGCTCGATGGCTCCAACTTTAACGGCAACTTTGGCCTGAGCTCCATCACTCTAAAAGAGATTCGAGCTCAGGGAAAATTTGGATCAGTCTGGATGGTAAGTTGACGTGCAATGGAACAGATGCAAATCATGGTTAGGGCATTACGCATGCATACAGTAAAAAAGCAAAATGAGAGAAAGAAAAGTGCACTGATGATGATGAGGTGATGGATGAGGTAAAAAAATCAAACCAGTGCTTGTGATGGTAGAGCTCACAGTGCTGGAGATGCAGAATCATTGGTGCAACATGCACACACATACACACAAACTTTGCTACTCATTACTCATCTTCAATAGCGGTAGAGCTTGCTTTTGTGCCAATTACCAGCTCTAGGGTCATCAATCGACTCAATTTTAATAGGCTCGCTTACCGAGCGTTTACCCTGAAACGCAAAGTGACTCAAACACTTGTCAGAAACTGCTGTGCCTTTTGCTTTCTTTCTCTCTTTCTCTCTTTCCTTTCACTGCTACAATTAATTGAATTAGGCTCAATTCATTAACCCCTTGTGCTGCTTCTGCTACTGGCCACAACTTCCTCTCGCCCGAGTGCATCCCGTGCGAGGTCATTTCTCATTAGTGTCTTTGTGTGCACCCATTCATTCTCCCTCTACCACTACCAAGACTATTACTGCAACAGCTAAGCTAATTGGTGCATTTTTTCCCGCCAAATTGCAAGTCGCTCATTTGCAGTCATTCCTCAGTCACAGTTCTGAGCTGTCCGAGAAGCAGCAGCAGCAGCAGCACTGCTGAACTCACCGCAGTGAAAGGGAACACACACACACACACACACACTTTTTGCAGAAAGAAGCAAGCAATCTTGCCAGCTAGCCGTACGACACCGAGTACAACTCAATTAGGAGCTGTTCGTTGGGTCTGTCTGCATTCATGCAAATCTGTGCGCCCCTTTTACTACGCCACCATCATTGCTGCTGCTGAAGCACTAGGAACAGCAACAGCAGCTACCAAAGCACACAAGCGCTTAGCTCTATTCTATTGCTTTCTCTGTTTTGCTGTCAGACCTCAGCGTCGGGCACGGCAGTTGGCTTTGGCAACAATAAATCTACTTCTTTCACTTCTTCTCTCGCCCCACCAGCACCACCACCACCACCAACATTGCTATCACCAACAGCAGCAGCAGTTTTTCTTTTTCTTTCCCGCAACTATCGCCAATTGGGAATCAGTGGCAATAAATTTTGCAAATCGCTATTTAATTTCCAGTGCCAACTGGGCTCGCGGTTTCTATGCGTTTGAAAGAGAGAAGAAGTGAGCTAATCAAATAGAGGTTAATCTAGGAAAGGCAACTTCTGCTGTTCTTCAGCAGAATGCAGCCTTCTCTGTTTGGCAACGGGAACAGCAGCAGGCCATTTTCTTCATCTCTGGGCGAGATTAACATTGACCCGAGACGACTAACTTGTTTCAATTGCTGGCTGCTACTGTGCTAGCGTGGAATCGCACCTAAACTGGCGCGGCACTGAATTGCACTAGCCAAAGTGCTCAATTTATGACTATTTGCAGCCATTGACTGGCCTCAATTAATTGCCTCTATTAGCAACACAAGTAGTTCTAGTAGAAATAGAAGTAGTAGTATTAGTAGTAGCAGTAGCGAAAGCAGTATTTTACTTTGGTTCACCTAGAGAAGTGATCAGAAAAGCTCCCAGCAGCGACTACAGCAGGCGATGTGCGCTTCACCGCCTTCTTACCAGTAGCCTCTTCTCAATCTCAATCTCTACTTCGGGATGTGTGTGTCTTTAACTTAATTTATGGTCTATTCTTGCAGTAATGACTTTTTAGAAAATGCAGTTGTGGCAAACCGCAGCACCCAGTAGCACTAGCAGCAGCAGTTTCAGCAGCCAACGACTGCTTCTTTAGCGAACAGCAACATCGATTTACCATTTTCTAATCATATTATACAATTTAATCTATTCTGCTTCACCTCACCAGGCATCAGATGGCGGCGACAACATGGTTGCAGTGAAAGTTTTTGCCATGCAAGACCGCAACTCCTGGCAGACCGAAAAGGACGTTTTTTCGTTGCCACAGATGAAACACAACAACATTCTCACCTTCCTGGGCGCTGAACGACGCGGCGAGGGCATCGAAACTCAGTACTGGCTAGTAACCGAGTACCACCCCAATGGATCACTGTGGGACTACCTCAAGTCTCACACCGTCAACCTCAATCAGCTGCTCACCATTGTTCAGGGAATTGGAGCCGGTAAGTAACGATGCAAAACGCTGCACTCATCAAAGATTAGAGATTTTTACGCTTTGACACAATTTACGCTCTCGAGTTGGCTGCTTTCTGATTTATGGCAGCACCTCCACAACTGACCTCATCCCCTCACTTTCTCTCTCTCTCCCACAGGACTCACCCACCTGCACGAGGAACTGTCACCCACAAGCACTGAACGCGGCAAGCCGTCAATTGCCCACCGAGACTTCAAGTCAAAGAACGTCCTTCTCGGCTCCAAATTCCGCCCATGCATTGCTGATTTTGGCCTGGCAATCGTCTTCAACCCGAACGCCATTCTCGGTGACGCCCACGGTCAGGTGGGCACTCGTCGATACATGGCGCCGGAAGTGCTCGAAGGTCAGTGATACTGCTCTCTTTTTTTCTTTCTCTTTCAATCTTTTGCTCCTCTACATGCACTCTTTTTTTCTTTCCCTTGTGGCCAGTCTTTAAGCCAGTAGCTCTCTGCTTTATAATCAGAGTATTCAAAAGGCGCCGTTCTATACAGTCAACTTGTAGCATATCAAATTGCCATCCACAAAACGCATATATACACACGTTTTCCTCTTTTAGCATTTTGGGATTCTCTTTCTGCCAAAGCTGCGCCTGAAACAAATCTTTCTTTCTTTTTCTCAGCTCCTTCCCAAAGTGTACTTGTACTTGTGTGTGACTTTATCAGCCTCCCCCTTCTGTGCTCCTAAGAACAACAACAACTAACTAACAGCTCACTTTGGCAGGCTGATCACATTTCAGCGCTAGCTCTCCCATTCATTCTCTGTCGTATATTACTGCCGAGTAGTCGTGATAAGGGCTAATTGCGCTCACTGCAATAATCATTTGCAATCTGCATCTCTTGCTTGCTCTTGCTTACTCTCCCTTTCCTCTCAGTCGGCGACACCTCGTTACTTGGTACTGGCGTCGAATTGCCATTTGCAGGCAGTCCTCCTCAGTCTGTGTGAACGACCAGTAGTGCGTACTTTTTCTTACAAATCGCCGCTCAGCCCATTTTCGTTCTGTTGTTGCACTCCTTGCTCAACAACTCAATTTTTACCTCTTTTTCTTATTTGCCTGTTTTAACTTCTTCCACTGAATCAGGCCAATTAGTCAGTCGTTTTCTGCATCATGAATGCTTTAGGTGCTATAAAATTGTTGCAACACACAAGCACAACTCATAAACGTACTGCCACCGTCTCGGTGGTCACCGAGACTGCGGTTTTGCGGAAAAGAAACCTGCGTCGCCTCATAAGAATGTGACTTTCCTTGTAATCCGCCAGCTCTAGCCGGTATCTAAAAACATGCTGCGGCTGCTGTCGCTGCAACTTGAACGCCTCCACTTTCTGCTAGAGGGCTGACTGTCTTTGTGCAGATTTCTCGTCTCCGGTCTCGGTGACAGTTGCAGTGACGAATGAGCTAATTCAGTGGTGTACATCGGCAATTAACAAGCTCATTCGCTCATCACTGCACTTCTGCTGCTGCTGCAGCTGCTGATGTTGATGCGATGTTCTTTTTCTCTTATCTGCATGTGGCATCTACAGACGCAGTAGCAGTGCTCTACACGCAGACTATCTGACTCGATTGTCTTGACCCGTGCTTTCCTCTTCCTTGTCCCTCTCCTCCGCCTCCTTTACATCTTCTTCATCATCTTCTACGCCGGTGTTTGTAGTTTCTTTTTCGGCGACTTGTTTACTTCATCCCTGGCTGCACTGTACTGCTACATGTGCAATTCTTCAACTGCAACAGCAGCAACAGCATTCGCAGAAGCGAAGTTGAGTCTTTTTCTAATTCCCTCGATTCATCATCTGTCTGCTGATGTGGGCTATATCTTTGCCCGCAGTTGCTGTTTTGCTGCTGTTGTTGTCACTCATCGAACGATAAGATGTCACTAGATGGTGAGCACTATCTAATTTTAGTATCACACACACACTGCCACAGTGATCAGTCCGTGCGCGCTCTCTGTCGCAATGGACCAGGTCGCCTTTGCGCTTGCCTCATCTCTGGTTCGCTCCTTCTTCTCTTTCTTCTTCTGGCAGCCGATGTCATTTAATGGTAGAGAAGTAGTGTGGCTGCCAATGCGTTTATTTTAGCGCTCACATGTGCCCTGTTGGGAAAAGTGGTTGCTCACATTAGTCTTTGTCCCTGATCAATTTTGCTCGTCAAGTGTGCTGCATGTATTGTTTGGTGGGTGAATTGTGTTTGTGTGTGGCAGTTTTGTTCTTCCAACAGTAGTCACAAAACTCGTAGCGTCCAAAATGACTGAATTTGGACTTAACAGTGCACTGGAAGGGAGGATGCACAATGAGTTTCTGGGTCTTCTGCTTATAGGCTTTCTGCTACTGTTGATTTAAAGTTGACACCTCTTTTTGGTTTTTCATGGCACGAAACAGTAAGACCACAACCACCACCAGTTCCACTAGACTCGGGCACTACCATCCATGCTTCATATACCATATGGCGCCCGGCTCTCATCTATTTTTGGCAATTTTTGCTTGCACACACACACATTTCTATGTCTATCTTTGTTGCCGGTGTGTCAGCACATGTCTAGTGTTCTGTCCTCCCACTTCTTCACACGGTGTCGTCGTTGTCGTTGTCGTTGTCTGTCTGACGTCGGGCGTCATCATCTTCATCTCGGACGCCTATTCTGCTGCTAGTGGTGCCATTGCACCATCAAAGCACAGTGGCGCCATGCACGTATCTTTCTGCCACCCTCTATCTCGGCAAGAAGCTACCACTCAACAGTTTTCTTCTGTCATACCTTTACCGATTAGCACAAAGGCAATGGTAGAAAATTGCTGCAGCAGTGCTCAGTGCGTCACGGCGTTGCACCAACTTCAAGATTGCTGCAACAGAGAGCCACTCTCTGCGCCTTGCTTCTCCTTCTTTCTGTTTCCCTTGACAAGTTCGACGTTTATGTTGTGTGTGTTTGGTATCGACTCGGAATTATACTTTGTAACAACTTAGCTTTCGCCGAGTTGCACTGCCCTTTTTGCTTACTCGATCATACGATGACTATTCGACTGGCAAATCACACACACACTCACACAAGCACGCCAAATGGTTGTGCGCGACCAAGTGCTGTCGGTGTGCGATTGTCTCATTGTCGGTGGCAGTGCCACCACCAGTCAGGTAGAGTTCAGGCCTCTCTCTCTCTCCTCCACCAGCCAGGATGAGAGCAGTCAGGCAGGCAGTGATGATGAATCTACAAAAACAAACAACTGCTTTCAGCTTTGATTCGGCAGCAGCTCGAATTAGTGCTAGTCATCAGTCTGTGCCAGTGCCATTCAATCGCGCCGATGATCTGCTCAAAGTGTTTGCGTCTGTCACACCGTGCTCCCGATGACCTTATCGGTCATTGCTTACCGAGAATTGTGCAAAACTAAAAGCCCTCATCTAAACATCCACCTGACAGAGTTCCTGTGCTAATACCTTTGCTTTTGATCAAAGAGGGAATATATTGATCGGCGAGATGCTGATGATGACGTTTAGTGAGTCAGTGGTTAGCACTGTCAATTTTTCGTCGTCCACCTTACCAGTGCCATTGGCCCGAACTGCTCACCAATACACACACAATCGCAGGTAGCTGTTGCTATCAACTAATGGGCAATTCTGGTAATGACATGTCAGTTTGCTTACGGCCACTGCCACTGCCACCAGCAGCCTTCTTCTGACGTCTTCTCGTGTCGACGAGAAAAGCGATGTGTGAGCTCCGATTGCCCAGTCCATGCCGTGTGTATGTTTGTTCAGCGTCTACCCAACTGTGTGTCCTTTGTTTCGGATTGATTCGATTTGCCGGCTTCATGTGTGCACTTACCAGTTGCAGTCTTTGCCGCACAAAGTGATCGAAGTCAGCAGCAGCAACAGAGGCAGTGGCAGAGGAGGCTGCCATCACCGTGTTCCTTCTTCATCTGTTGGGTCAAATTATGCAAATTGGCGCACACTGGCGACTCCATGCAAATTGACGCTTTATTTGGCCGCCATAATTGCTACTATTTATTTGTTTATATGCAAATGACGGTAGCTACCATCTAGCAAGTGGTCACTCGCTCGCTTCATCGATCGGCGACGAGTGCCACTGGTGCCGCTGGTAGTGCTGAAACGCACCAAATGGTCGCTCGGCACTACGAACTTGGCTGGCGGAGTGCAGCAAACAGAGAGTGCACAGTGCATTGCCACCTCATTGCGGCGTCAAAGTAATCTTGGTGATGTCTTCATTTGCATAAACGATAATTGTTTTGCAATCACACACACACTGACAGACGGACAGCATCAGCCGCCTTTAGGCTCTCTGGGAGAATGTGTCACTCTTTACTGCAACGCTTGGTGCAGCCTGTAATTCCGCCTTTCATTGAATCTCTATTAATTTGCGTCCACTGCGTCGACTCATTATCTTTTTCATCGCTAATCACTCGGCAAATTGGTAGTTTTCTGGTAGATAAAACACAACGTTTGCCTTCTATTAAAATATACGCTGCAATCTTTTTTTAAATTTGGTCAAAGGTAATCACAGGACTTTAGCTGTGCGCTGATTCCTAATGCCAGTGGTTGATTTACCTAATTAATTGGCATTGCTTCTTATACCCGAGCTCTGTCATTGCCGAAAGTCAGTGACATTGAAAGTTTTATAGGATTCCTCTTCACTGCTAGCATTTATCTTTCTCTCGTTTCATTGGGTGCCATTTTAATTTTACAAGCAGCCTTCAGCCTGCATTAAACATCACTGCCAAGCTGGCTCCAATTGATCACTAACAGACTGTGCCAACATTTTAGGCAAAGTGTACACTGTAATTTATCGACATTACGACATTTCGTTGTTAGTAAATAAAGCAAACACAAGCGCAGAGTGTTCACTCATTTGAGAGAGCAGCAAATCAGTGCTCAGTCCAAATCACTGCGCATCAGCGAAGTAGAGCAGCCGCTGCTGCACTGGTGGCGTCCATCATTGTCCACGTCAGCGGCATCTGTCAAGGCAGCGACTGGCCAACTGGTCACTGCCGCCATCACACTGAACACAGTAAAAAATTGCCTTCTTTTACTGCCATTGTCTTAGTGTCACTCAGTGGCATCTGTCCGCACGATGTCAATGCTTCTCTGCTGCACTAACCAAAGCCTGATCCATTCAAATCAAACGCAATTTGTGTCAATCTAAAGAGTGGTAGCAACAGTAGTGGTAGTAGAAGTAGTACTGATCTTTTTCTTCTTTCAACTTTGGCGCCGGTCACTTTCTCGAATTTTTGTGACTTTTTTTGCTAATTTCGATTGTTTTTTGTCCATTTCTGGTGCTTTTGTTTTTTCTGCGTTAGTGATGCCTTTTTCCTTTTTTCAACTTGCTCTCTCTCTCTCTCTCTCTCTCTCTCTCTCTCTCTCTCTCT